GAGAGAGAGAGAAGAGAGAGAGAGAGAGAGATGGGCAGGGGAAACCACCCCACGGGGGCGAATTGGAGAGACGGAGATCAGCTCGAACGCAGGACACGTTTTCCCTCCCCCACTCCGCCTCCGCCTCGTCCGGCCGGTCGCAGGCCCACCGATGAAACGGCAGCTCGAGAGAGAAGGGTCGGGTGTCGTGCGGCGTGAAGCCGCCGGGCTCCCATCGCAGATTGCTCATTACCCATGATATATCTAAATGTTAATGCATCCATCACCCATCCAATAGAATAATTCGACGTGATCTAGGAACTATTAAAGCGGCACCACCACCGTTTGCTTAGGTTGCCGTGATCCGATTTCGCACCGAACGCATATCCCGCGTATCCTTTTGAAGGAGCTCGTGCAACGCCTCGATCCCGGTTTGGGTTTGCCCCGTAAACTTCAGCCACGCCTCCATAATCGCCCGATCCACTTCAACCTGCAACAACGGCTGCTCCTCGCCATCGGGAGGGGACGTTGAATTTTTCTCGACTCGCTTGCGCAGGCTTCTTCTCGCCCCCTCCTCCTCCAGCCACGCCTGGATCTGCTCCAGCGCGCTGCGGTAACGCCCGGGCGCGGAGAGCTCCTGCTGCATTTGCTGCAGCCTCTGCAGAAGAAGCCCCTCCTCGCCGTCGGGTCTGCCAAGGCGGCGAAGGGTTTCCATCTTCTGCAGCAGCGTGTACCACCGCCGGCGTAGCATCACGTCCTCTTTCTTCAGCTCCGCGAGCTTTACTTGGTTCTCCTTGTCAAGCGCAACGATCGCCTCCACATCGGTGGTGTAGGTTTTAATTAGATCCGAAAGGGCCTCGATCTCCTCCTTCTGCTTGCTGCAGCGCTGTTGGAGCTCCTGCGCGAAGTGCAGCGGGGTTGGGTAGAGCCGCTGAGGGTCTGGGTTAGCGAGGATCGCCTGGATCCAGTCCTCCTCGGAGCACCCGCCACCGTGCAGGTGGGCGAGGTAGCGATCCCGCTGGATGGCGCCCTCCGCCTGCCCTGGGCCGCACACGTTGAAAACAAATGTACGGAAACGACATTGCGGATCGAGCGCGTTGTACGCACGATCCACCTCGCACAGATAATTCGAAATCGCACTCTGCGTGTCGTAGTCGAATCTGCAGGGGCCTGCTGCAGGAGGTCGGAGGGAAGCCCCAGTCCCAGTGGGGGAGCCGGCACCAATGGAACCCGTCCCTGAGGGAAAAGAAGCACCCGCCGCACTGCCGAATCCTCCAGGGGCTGCGGTAGTTCCCATGGTCCCACTGCCGAATCCTCCAGGGGCTGCGGTAGTTCCCATAGCCCCACTGCCAAAGCCTCCTGCGTTCACGCCTCCAGGGCGTGCACCAAAAACTGTTGAAGCTGCCGGCGCAGCACCAAAACCCGTTTTAGTCGCTCCAAACATTTCTTTTCCTTTTACTGTTGTTGTGTGTGGATCCTACTGAATAACTGTACGCAGATAACCCTTCCCTTAGATTACAACCGAAAACCAACAACAAGAGGAATTTTGTGACACCCTACGCAACCATTGTGACAAAAAAGGAGAATACAGCAACAGAGGCCCATTTATAGTTACATGGACTTCGCAGCGACCCTGGCCTATTGGCTCTTCATCCGGGTTGGTTGTCTTCTTCACCGAAAAGGGAAGCTGCACATGCGGTGTGTTTATAATACATTGAGGCGTGCCTGCATGTAGGAACGCATCTCCTGCAAGGGATTATCCGGCTTGAGGATGAGCAGGTGCAGAACCATGTCATTCAATATTTCCGTAATTTCCGGATGTTCCTCGAGATATCGGCTGTAGTCCGCTACTAGCACATCCCTATTTTGTTCCACGCGAACCCTGCCCTCGTAGTCGAAGTTTTCTTTATATTGAAGATGCTCCACGCTCCGCCCTTTGGGCGCGGGGGTGGAGGGAGACTTTACGGTAGTATCGAGGCTCATAGCGTTCCCGTCAGCTCAATTTTATCACCCTTTTTCCTTTTAATGCTTGCTTTGGTACTTATAATATGACATCCTTAATGCGCACATCACAAGACGGAATGAAAAGATTAATTCGACGTAGAAGAGTCCCATCAGTGCAGTTGGCAATGACGTGAGGACGACAGTTTCCATAAACATGAGCACACTAAAATGACTTTGACGATCCGAGTGAAGGCAATTATCAGGTAAGGAAGAGTAATAGGAAATACGAATAGCAAAAAAAGAAGACATCACCTTCACAACTTAATTTCAAGGTGGCAAAATATAAATGGTAATCCGTTTCGGATACATCAAACATGTTGAGCAGCATCCACTCCTTTTGATTCTGTGATTGTTTGTAGAACTATTTTTCGTGGTAATCCGCAGGACTGTGGTAGTGTAGTCGTGTAGGGGGAGGTTCCTGCGCTTGTAAGGGCCTACGATGATGATCAACCGTGCTCGGAGGCAATCCATCCGATCGCGCGTGATAGATATCCGCAATGTCATAGGTTTGCGACTCTCGAAGCTTCAGAAGTGCGCAGCCCAGCTGCGCACCGCTGCTTCTGTTCGTTTCCACCTCTACCAAAACACCCTCTGCGGTGGTATTTTGTTCGCTATTCAAAAGAGTGTGGGATTCTGAAAAAGTCGGCATGGGTTGAGCGGGGGCTATAGAGGGGGGAGAGAGAGTCCTTCTCCCCCACCCAAGAGTGATCGCGTGGTCGACAGCGCCCCTCCGCCGTACCGCGCGCACACGCAACGCGCTCCTTACGCAGTTTCAACATTTTTTGAATAAAATTCAGCAACTTCTGCGAAGTCACCGTCGAATCCGGGGAGACGAACCCCCCTCCGCTGTTTAACATGCCGTTGGACGCGCGTGATGTCAACAAAACGTTGTGGTGAACGTAAAGCAACGCATCGCGATAACTATCCTCGTAGGCGTTGCTGGATTCCTGGTAAAGCTTCGTGAGGGCGACGGCAGCGGTGGAGAAACTGTCGTGCAAAATATTTTTTTCGATATCGTGATGCGCCTGTGGGGTCTCCACTGCTGGGATTGTCATGTGATGTGGGCATGGTGCCACCTGGCCGTTTCTTCTAAATGTTAAAGTCTAATGTGAACCTGTGAAGAGGAAAAAAGATGCTTCTGTTTATTCCACATGCACAGTCAAAAAAAAAAAACTAACGGCTTTCAGACACAGACAGGGACTATTCACCGGTAGTTGTTGCAATATAGAACTCGTTTTACTTTTGATCCGCGCTCAAACAGAAAACAGCACACGCGAGGTGCACCGACCTCAATGGTGAACCTAACTTAAAAATAACATCACACGTCCAGAGGTTTTGCCATGAATACATAAATGACTACGCCAGAGTTGTGCTAGTCATCCATCAATGTGCATCTGCACCAACAACATTACCCTCTCTCTCCACACACACGGAAAAGAAACCAAGAAAAGCGTGGTAGAGTACAATACGTGTGGCGATAGGATCGAGGGTGGGTGCCTCAAAGGTGGCTCTTACCGATCCCTTCCTTCACGTCGCGCGCGGCCCATCCCATCCGACGCGCGACCTCCTCTTTGGCGGCGGCCGTCACCGCCACGACGCCGTCCGGCAGCTCCGCGAGCGCGGCCGAGAGGGCCTCATCCCCGCTCCGATGGCGATACCGCAGGGGGGTGCCCTTCAGGGTGTAGATTTCCCCCCCAAGCGCCCGAAGAAAGGCGTGCGGGGCGCAGCAATCCCACGCCATGATCGTCCGGCTGGGGGCGACGAAGACATCCGCCCCTGCCCTCGCCCCCCCTAACGCTTGGTGGAGGAGAAAAAACTCCTTATTCCCGGAGCCCCTGGCGTAGCAGATCGCGCACGGCCTCAGCCGCTCGTTCACCTCGCGAAGGAAGGCGGATTTCGTCGTGGGGGATTCGCACACCCGCAAGGGGGCATCGCCGCGTTTCTCCTCCCCCATCTCGCGAGGGGATCCCACAAGACGACCCTCGTGGACGATGAACGCCGTATCGTTTTGAGCCGGATTGAGGATGTAGGAAAAACCACCACCGGAAGGGCCTTCTGCGCTCACCGGGAAGGCAAAAAGGCGATTCACGACCCCCCCCACAGGCACCCCGTCGACGGCGACGCCGACGAGCGTCATCGGGGCCTCCCAGACCCCCTCCGCGAAGCAATTCGTCGCGTCGATGGGGTCGATGAAAACCCCAACGCGCTCGCGGAGCTCCTCGACGGAGGCGGCGTGAAGCCTCGCGGCGCCTTTCCAGCGCGGGAGGTGCGCGCGAAGGGCGGCCTCGCCGGGGATTTTCTCCGCCTTCCAGCCTTCCGCCTCCACGCAACGCCGCGCGATGGCGTCGAGGGTTGCGTTCGGCGCCGCCTCCTCGCCGATAATCGTGAAGGGGGCGTCGGGAAACTCCCGCAGCAGCAGCCGCACGAGGAGCGCCTGGGTGAGGACGTCAGCGGTCGTTACGAGATCCTTCGCGGCCCCCCCTTCTTTGAAGTTCAACACCGACTTCACCTCCACCCCCACCGTGGCGTGGAGACGACTTAACAGGCATTGCTTGCGTGCAGGATCGAGTTCTAAAATCGAAATCGCCTTTTCCCTCGGCGAGGGATTATGGGGAAGGTCCTGAACGCGAAGCAGCTCCGTCGCGATGTAGCGCTGAGCCGCCAGACATCCCCGGGCGCAGGTGCAGATCACATCGGGCAGATGCAGAGAGGGCATGAAGGCCTGAGCTTGGAAGGGCAGGTGGGGAATTGTATGGAGTTTCCCAGGTAGGGGGTAAAAAATACTTTAAATATCTAAGGAAAAGAGATTACTTAAGCATCGTTAAAAAAAGTGATGAGACAAAGGGAAAATGAACTCACAACAGATAACAGGATACCATATATATATATATATATACTTATTTATTTATTTATTCATGTGAATCCATGTGTATGGTTTGTTTTCGATGGTTAAACACCTTTCGGGGTTGTTAGGAGCCGTACTTGGGAAGCTGCCCGGCCTTGTACGCCAATTCCCGTAGCACGGCATCCAGCGTGCATCGATTCGGCCCTTTCATCCAATCCACACCCGACGTCCCGCAGTCTCTCAGAATCGGATAGTTACTATACAGGTGCAGAGGCACTATGCAGCACGCCTCTTCACTATTCTCCCTCGCTTTCCCCCCTTCGCTCTCCTTCCAAGCTGCGGAGTCGCATCCTGTCAGGCGTGTTTGCGCTAGCTCGGACGCGTAGCTTGGGGGCGGTTTCAACCAACTCAGCTCATCCGAGCGAGCGCGGGCGGGTGGTACGACGGCCACCTTTTGAGAGAGGTCCACCACCGCAAGCAGGCAGTAAGTGCTTGTCTGCGAGGGTACCTCCTCATCTACGAAAGGGCGTAGAAGGGAAGCGCAGAGGTCGTAATATTCCGCGGTGGTGGAGCAAGTGACGGCGACCATGGGTGGCAGATCATCGAGCAGGCGATCGGGGGCTCTCCCAAGGATTCGGCGAGTGAGTTCCTCGTACTCTATAACGAGATATGGGATATTGGCCGCATCACAAAAATGTGTAAAGTCGTGAATGAGGATCTCAACCTGGGCGTGATGGAGTGCATGTGACAGGACACAGCCGCAGTGAGATCCTCGACTGTGATTAAAATCGACATCAAAAATTGGCTTTTCATCCTCCACGACGACAAACACCGACCGGCATCGCCCACCCAACGCGTTCATACGTATTCACTCCCTTCTGGGGGATCTGTGCACCCACAACACAATATATATCCCTTCCGTTTTAGTGGGAAAGCGTATTTGCAACTTTTATTTGAATAAACTTGATTAGCATGGCGAAATAGAGATTGGAAACAAAAACAATATAACATATGATATCATCACAAAGGTGGATCCCGTTTGTAGGCCCTACACACTTGAATACCTTCAAAGAGCCTCAGACCCAAAGAAATATCTTTAAAAAAAGGCTGACTCATAAAATTGATTTATGTATAATCATAAGTAACAGCTTCAACGTATGCAACGCTCTATCAAAACTATGTCCCACATACTACATACAGATATATATGTATATGTGATCTGGAAAGCCTTGACTTGGCTATCATAGAGTTTTAAAAAAGCACGAACTGTATTTTGGAGCTTACCTTCTTTTCCTCCAAAACAATTTCAGTTGATTGTTTTTCACACTTCGTGCAAATCCGTTGCTGATGATTGCTTCTTTAGTTAACGTGTAACAAAAAAGGCTAACAGTAAGGGAAATATTTTGCATCCAAGAGTAAAAAATAACAATAAAGGATAAAAAGAATCTGTAGAATGGATTCTAAATACCTAATACTCTACTTTCTATTAATAGGAAGCCTTTCGTGGATGTGTGAATCCCTATCCATCGTCGTTTGCGCCCAAATAAATATGCCGGAACTCCTTACCTTACGATACGAGGGGTTGCTCGAAATAAATAAAAAACTCATCATGATGTCAAGCGTGTGGTGTAAAAAAGCGAGCTCTCAAGCCTAGATAGTGAGTCAAGAGACTGCGCATGTGCGGCGCCGGAAGGAACTGCTTTTTGTAGTTTTGAAGGGTATTTATGGTCCGAATAAGGATCTCGCGGAGTCGTGGTGTGCTGGCGTCACCATCCTCCAATCTACTCAGAAAGTGCTCACAATACTCGCTGAATATGCACACAAAGTCATAAACGCTACGGCAATCGACCATAATACGACAGGACTCAGGCCGTGATATCTTAACTTTGGTTTTAAAAGTGTCGGCGTTGTGGTAGACCTTGGAGAGCGTGGCGATGGCCATCAGCTGTGGGATAGCACAGAAGCGGAATACGGAGAGATCCTTGAGGGATACCACGTATTCGATAACATACGGTATATGCCGCAGGGCATCCGAGACCATCGCATCTAAGCATTGCAGGGCTGTAGCGTCGGCCCACCACAGGTCCTTCAGCTCCTTCACGTAACGACTCCAAATGGATTCCGGCCAAAACATCCGTGGCGGCTCCTCAAGAATGTCCTCGTAATAATCCCGGATGATATTCGTCTTTTGTAGAAAAAGGCCCATGTGGTTGGCGTTAATGAGGTCCTCAGCCGCGCATGAACTCTCAGAGCCTGTGCGTGCGAACAGTCGTGTGAGGCCATGCCCTACCAGCCCGGCGACGTAGTGGCAGTAAAGATCGTAGTCCTCCTGCGTGTTCACCGAGCGCTGCAGGAACTCACACATGCCCTCCGCCATCCGTTCGCACGTGTCGGAGATGACAGACTGATATTCCTTCGAGAGCTTTCGATATTCTCGCACCACACAAGGGAACTGCGCCAACAACTTACGCTCGCAACCTTCACCGACGTCGGTCAATCTCCACTCCGGATCCTCTAGATGGCTGCTGAACTTCTTCAGCTCCTCCAACTTCATGTTCATGGGCACGCTCATGTCATCCTCGATCGTGTCTAATGCGCGCAGGGTGAGGTAGAAGATGCAGATGCTATCCCGCAATGCGGAATCCGTCAACTGCGTGATTACCATTGCAAAGGAGCGAGAGACTGATTTAAGGATGTCATAGCAAAATAGCAAGTCTTGTTGCTCCTTCCTTATTTTGATCCGAGTCATGGTCATCATACTCCATTTCATACGCAGCATAGCGAATGCGTTTGAGATTAAACGTGTCTTACACATTTTTGGTATCTGAGATAAACTCATATACATTTTGCGTCCTGTTAAGTTAATTTAGTATACTTTTTTTGTCCCTATTCGAAGCTACGCAAATGGAATTTCATGAAGTAGAAGAACCACTTTTAGGTGTGGACGGGGTGATAGAAAAGGGGTAGTTTAGTAAAGAAGAAGAAGAAGAAGCGTGAGTGGACCCTTTAGTGAGGAGAGAGAGAAAAAACGGTATGGACTGCATTCCACACAGCACATCGCCCCTGTGAAGAGAAGGGATTCAACGTACCTGTTTAGATCGATCAGTCTTTACCGTGTAGCAGTCTTATCCAATGACCTTTGCGTGTGCAAGGTCGAAACATCATGAATGAACATATCAGTAAATTATTCGAATCTTTAGAATGTAATGTCAAATATTTTTAGTCAAACTATACCTTGGCCTGTGGGTTCCCCATCACCTCACCCTTATCATTGACCACGCCATTAACCCACTCCCTTAACATTTGGTTTCCCGCCGTCCAGTATGGTGGGCACGCGATGGAAGGGTGGCTCCCCGCGAGAGCCTTCCGCACTTCCTCTTTGTGAACCCACTCCACCTTGATGAGCTCGTCGGCCTCCACGACGAGCGCCTTATCCCGGTCGTACTCCTGCACGACCGCGTAGTAGCACAGCATCAACAGATTCGGGAAAGGCCACGTCTGGGAGCCGACGTAATGCATCTTGTCGATGCGCACGCCGGTTTCCTCCTCGACCTCGCGCCGCGCGGCGGCCTCGGCGGTCTCACCTTGCAGGATGAAACCCGAAAGGATCGTCAGCACGGGGCTGCCGCGATGCCGCTGCGAGAGGAGCACGCGGCCCCGCCCGTCGAGCACCGCCACGAGGACGGCAGGGGTGATTTGCGGGAAAATCTGCCGGCGGCAACGCGCGCAACGACGGCTGAGGCCGCCATCCTGCTGGGCGCTCGTGACCCCCCCGCATTTCCCGCAAAAGCCCTGCGTGAGGTGCCACCCCACCCCCGCGAGGGCGAGCCCCAAAACCGCCAGCGCCTTCTCCGGCAGCCCCGCGAGCAGCGGCCCCTTCACCGCCACCCAGGCGAGCCCAGGGAGGGCCCCGGCGATGAGGTTGGCGGCGTCCGTCGCGAAGAACCCCCGACGCGGGGCCTCCACGTCGGAGCCGAGGAAAAAAACCCGCGCGGGATCCCGCACCGCGGCGAGATCGAGCGGGCGATGCCAACAATCCGTGAGATCCAAGGGGTATCGGGCGGCGTCCACGGCCACCCGCGGGCCATCCGGGCGGATGACGATCAGACGAGGGCCCCACTCCGGCCGCATCCGCTCCGCCAGGAAGCCCTCCCGCAAGCGGTCCTTCTCGTGGCGGTTGAGCGAGAGGCCGTCCATCGAGAAGCGGAACATGGGTGTACTGCTCATCGCCAAGGTTGGAGCGATGGCTTAGTTGTGGTATCTTTTCTTAACTAGATTCGATGAAGGGTTGCCCCCACACCCCGTAAAAGAAGGTAGATAATAGTAGAAATTCCCATCGCGCTCGAGTTCACACCGCCCGAACGAAAGCACGTCGGAGAGAGCCCACGCCACTTCTCCAAAAAAATCGCATCACCCTTGAACGTGGGGAGAAACCACCGAATTGCTTATTTTCCCCTACACACGTTTACACCTCTGCCAACACATCCTACCCTTAAATCGACTCGGAGCCCCTCCGCCCCTCTTTGCCGTTAGCACATCGCACATCTAGATTTCCATTCCATCACCTTCTTCCACATCACGGACTCAGGCACATTGCGCTTCCTCGTCAATGATCTAGCGCGGTGGTCAGGTGGGAAAGAGAGTTTCCGACAGGGCATTGAAGAGGAGTCGGAATCTCTAGATGCCAATAAGGATACCAGTTGCATTAAAGAAACCAACTTCGCTGCGCTTCATGCAGAGGCCCCTTACTGTGAGACGGATGACTTGCTTGCTTCTTGCCCTCACTCGTAATCCTATTAAAAAGACACAAAGGGAAACTCCAGCGGAGAGATTCATCCCTCTTGTTCACACCAAGCTAAACCAAGGGGCAGAGCGCATAGCAAGGCTATTCTCATTGTTTAGGGACTCGATCTCTTCATTAGATTGTTTTTATTCCGCCTTTGCTCCTTTCCAATGAATAAGTACTTGAGCTCATATGGAAGCTTAACACCAAAGGATGAGTATTGCGTATAAAGGAGAAGAGGAATGATGTATCGGTATCTCATAAGACACACCGCAGCCCCTAATCTTAATGGGCAGGGCTCCATGGAGAGCAACCAACGCGAGAAGCATTAGAAAACATATACAAAAAAAAGACAGAACTATTACAAATGTGCCCAAAGGCCTTATCACATACGGCGCCCACGTCAAAAGGGCCTAAGGGATGGACTCAGTCTTCTTTCAGCAAGAATGAGACGCAACGCAAGTTTCTTACTATATATAAATAATTATCTTATTATTTATATTGCTCAAAAAAAGTTAGGATCCCGTACTCGCCTATCATTATTTGTAAAAGATTTTTTTGTTAATTAAGCAGATGATCAGTGCCTGAAAGTATCAGTTTTGATTCTGGATGATGCATAAACACGTGCACGAATTGAAAAAGTGGTGAAAAGAGCAACCTCTTTGTGGAGGTAGTACACGTGCGACAGAGGGTTAGCAAGCACTTTAAAAACAAAAAAATAAAAAAAATATCGGTTTCCAAGCGACACAAGAAGACACGGCCTCACATACTTGCCATTTTAAAAATCAAATAGGGATAAACAATCTGGGAAGAACACAAAATACCGTATGCATCGTCAAAAATCATTTTCTGTAAACACATATGCAATAGAAAGAGGGAAAAAATATTTTTTGTATAGAGTGATTAAAAGTCAAATTTACACGTCAAGACAAACGAATGCGAAAGAAGTAATGAAGTTCCGCACACACCTGAATCATCATCCCTTAGTGTGGTACATCGTAGTTTAATATAAGAAAAGTAAAGGCCATTCGCCATATTTTCATGAAACTACCCACATTTCCCTGTAAGACATCATTTATCCTGATAAATGCAACAATCAACACAAGAGTCAAGTGCACAAGAAGAGCAAATGGTTGGACACACAATACTCAAAAAATGCAATAAACAAAGATCAATTCGTCAACATCAACACACATAGGTATATTGCACTACCCTCCTCACACACATTCAATACCAAGAACTATTATATTTTGTGCCATTAGTGGTGTTACTTAAAAATGTTTGAAAATCACTCAAGTCAAGGTCATGTCATTACTAAGCAACTTAGTAGTGGAGGTTTATGGATAAAAAGAGTGACAAATCGTCTCATTCTCATGTGTGCACCCATAGATGAAAAAGAAACCAAACTCAATTTTTCTTCCCATCCCCAAAAACCCCACCAACGCCGAGGAAGCCAAAATTAAGCGAGAAACCGAGGCATGCAGCGAGTGATTGGCCGTGACACCGCTCCATAGCAGTGTGAGTTCCTCCATAATAATAAAAAAGATAATTTCACGTTGGTGGAAAGCTCTTTGAAAGATCGACACGCACCTTTTCGCTTCCAATTAGCGCCCTCCAGTGTTCGGCCTCTATTCCTTCTCTTCCAAGCACACGACGCGACGTGGCGCTCGTGTTCGTGACGCCTCACTCTACCTAACTGCGACCTGAAGAGCAGTCATCCACGCCTCAAACGTCGCCTTATCGCCGACCTTAAACCAATATGCCTTCCCGGAGTGCTTTCTAACCGCGAAAACGAAGCGCTCTCCCGCAATCGGTTCATCAATTGGGCAGACTGATGTCAGAGCGGATAACGGCGCGGTTTCCGTCTTGCCATTGTCGAGGTGCCGCATCGTGATCTCCTCGTCGGTGAGCGCCAGCTCGCAGTCCTGCCACCCGGAGCCCGCTGTATGGCGCTTGACGATCCCCTTGCGCGGGCACGCCTTGACCACCTCGCCACTCTGCTTTTCACAGCTAAGGATGTTTGTAATGCACTGCGAAATCTCCGCGCGGATCTGCTCCAAGATGCGGTTATGCCGCTCTACACTGTGTTGAAGAATTTTCAAATTCTTGGCGATGAAAGGCTGTTGGAAGAGGGCGCGCAGCGAGGGGCGCTTCTCGGGGTTCACCGAGAGCAACTGATCGCACACCCCGACCAGCTCCTCGGAAAGGTAATTCGGCAGGGGCCGGCGGTTCGCACTGCAGATGTTGTTGATGAGCTCATCCATATTACTCCCTCCAAAGGGTCGCCGCAGCGCCATAACCTCGTACAACACGACGCCAAGAGACCACATTTCGCTCTTCTTGCTGTACATCTGGCGATGCCAGAGCTCCGGGCTGAGGTAGTACGG